GTCAAATAGTATAGTAGTAGTTAGTGTCAAATAATTTGTCAAAATATTTAAATTACAATTGATTCAAGCTTGCACAGACACGTTTAAGACAAATCTGAGAGATCTAGCGCTATTTTAATGTTGCGTCTTCACTAAACCATCGATTGTGATAGACTCATGATTACAGTTAACTAAGACTTGTTCGATGAGGTCACGTTAAAAATTTCTTATATACTAAGATTAAATAAGTCAAAAAAAAAGTCTTGTAACTTTCTCTCTCTCACTCGCTTGATATCTTCCTCTCTAGCTCCCTGGATATTACCGAAATTTTATTTTGTTTTAAGACGAATTAAGTAAAACGAAAAAACCAAATAACCTTAGTATAGGCTCTTGTCTGATACGATCCAAAAATGAGATGCAAGGTCGAAGCGTCAGTTTGAACCCCTTCGAATATCTATTGATACATTGATGTTTTGTTTAGAAATCTTAAGTTCGCGATCTTCTCAACCCGCCGTCCACAAGCTTAACTGCGTTGAGAATTTAAACTGTATCTGAATGAACAACTAGATTCTCGGTCTGCCTCTAAAGCAACCCTGCGAACTCATGTTAAATCTTGAAAAAGGGCTCAGGAAAAGGAAAGTAGTCCCAGCTATTACAACACGAATGAAGCTATTCTAGCAAATGCATTTCGTCGTGTCATGTCCAAAAGTACATCAAAATGGTAAATCATGATTCAGAAAATACGATTCAGCTTTTCCTTTTCTAACAAAATTCATTGAAATTATTCAGTATGCATATTTTTCGAAGGTCTTTATTGGTGCTTTTTAGCCACGCTTAGCAACAAGAGTCCCATCGATGTGGCGCACTACGGCCGAATGGAAAAGACCATAGGAGCCGTCAAATGGAAGTCCATTTGGCAGAGTTCGCGCGCTCTCTGAGGTACCTCTGCGGCGGTGATGAAGCTGACTTGTTCGAACAGCCATGATACCTGCACGATAAAATGCCTTAGTTCGAATGCCCCATGTTCTATTGAAGGGAAATCGCACAAACCTGTACTGCAAACAATTCTAAAATGAGCGACGCGCGCAAAATTTCCCGCTAGACTAAATCTCGTTAGAGCGTAAACGTTAAGAGACGTTATTGGAGCTATGCACCACAGGTAGCATACTGTGAGTTGAAGTTTAAAGTAGTTAAACACTGGACTATTCTATTGAAAATACAAAAGAATTAAAAGTCTAAAAACCTCACACATGCGTATTCTTATTTACGGCTGGCAACCGCCTGCATGGGCGTATGAATCAAGTGATAAAGAACCCATAATTTTTATATGCCTATACTATGTAGTGCTTCTTCAAGTATGCATTTTTCGGCCATGTTTTTACACACATCTCCAACTAACCATAGTTTGACTTTTAACAAGTCTTTACAGCAAAACATAATGTCACTCGTGAAATTACCGTACGATTCGATGGACGACGATTTACCGTGGAACAGTCTCCAGCTAAACACGAGGCGTAGAAATAAATTGTTAGAGGTCTTAGGGCTAGAGGGGCTGGTCCCCGACATGCAGATGCAATCGCTCAATATCGAAACTAGTAAAACGTAAAAAGGACTGAGCTGTAAACAGAAGACAATAACAGAATTTCAGACATATTTTCCGAGAAACGTTCAATTGTACTTTTGCTAAGGTTGTGGGCCTTTGATATGGACAGCCCTGAGCAGACGGGATCACCGGAAAAGATGGACTACCGGCGGTCCTCAAAGAGATCAATGTAACAGGCCCTTAGATGATATATGCTTCAAGCCATGGACAGGTGGCAGGACTGCAGGCTTCTTTAAATATACTTGGCCGTTTCCTTAAAAAGTAAAGATAGTGACATATCATTTTAAGTCTATTTTGTATGGCACCCTAAAAGGCCGGATGCGGCCTTGGATCGAAATTTTCCATTAATCAAATGATGATGGTCATCTTGCTCGGCTTTTACTGTGTTGTGTGATATCTAAAGCGTATGATTCGGACGATTATGGGGAATGAGGACAGGATGATCGTTGCTAAACCGTATCCCGTATCCCGCGGTCAAGGCTTTCGCATCTCACAGAAATGTATGCTTAATCTTTGTAAAACATGTTAGAATGTTACACCAATGGGCACACCGTACTTTGATTCGAAGTCAATATATACGTGTGTGAGAAAGATGGTGGAGAACTTGTCGCTAAAGGCTGCGTTAATGAATCACTACAGGACAAGCCATCGGTAGTGAAGGAAATCAGCTGTCGACTCATATGTCAGGAACTTTATCGAACAGATGCTTGATTATACTGGACATTATTGCCTAAAGGAGCAACAATGAATGACATTTGTGGGTCCTAAACCGGGTTTTGCTAACCGAGTAGGTTATTCTGCAAATGGATTTCCCGGCATGATTTTGACTTGTTAGGATATCCAACGAGGGCGACAAAAACTTAGTAAAAATTATGATCAGTATTGCGACGCGTGTAGGTGGTTAAGTCTTATTCTCGCATATGGTAATTCTGTCTTTTTCTATAGCTGTGCTATCCTTAACATACAGTTTTGCAATGTAGATCTATTTAATTTCTACGTTATGTTGGAAATAAACGTCATATTTCTAATGCTGCGTAAGAATTAAGTGAAACAACACCCAGTGGTTTTTCGCACTCTTTCCTGTTCTCTCAATTTTTCTGCTGCACTGGACGCGGCACATGTTCAAAAACTCTTGACCTTTTCTATTCGTTGCTTTTGCTTAGATTGAGGCAAGAAATGTAAAATTTAATCAAAATAGGGTACCCGGAACGGACAGAAGAGAATTAACGATACTTCAACCCAACAGTACGTGGAATACAGGCTTTGTATAAATAGTATATATGACTTGTATGCAATTATTGGAGTATGATAGGTAAAAAAAATCGTATGTGATGTGACAATCGTATTATAAATCACCAACAAATGGCCCAATTAAATACGAATTAATATAATTCAAGCTGCTGGTAAAACACCAGATCAAATTCGAACAATTAAATTAATTCTTCCAGTATCCCTATGACAAATGAAAATAAGAATAATTTATTGACAATTTCTCCCAATTAATTCTGCTTTGCCGCAAATGGCCAGACACCCAGCTTTCTGTTCCTAGATCCGACTCCCATTGCGCCTAAGTCCTATGGCCCCTCTGGTCATAGACAAGACCGGATCTTCTGGTAGAATTGGTGATTTTTAATTCACGTTGCTTCTGTTTGCGACGAGCTTGAATTTGAAGACAAGAAGGGCGTGGGTAGCTGTCTAGCTTAACAAGGCCTGTGCATCTCCAGCGACGTCTTAGCGGCTACTATGAAACTGGCGATTCCTGGCGGCTAGTCTCGAAACCCTCTACCATAATTAAAATTTAGGCGTCCATGCTTGGAGAAGATGGACTACTAAATTCGGCTAGAAGTCCTCTTTTTGGGTTTTGCCGGCATTTGATTGTACGGGAAATCTTAGACCTTCGGGCGCGTGTGTCGATCTGTTGCGACAATGAAAATACGTTTTGCTCCTCCCGGACTCTTGAATGCTCAATATCTGACAGTAATATTGGTGCCCATTAGCCAAATTGTACGCTTTCGGTGTCGTTATTATCAGCCCGGTGCATTCGTTGTCGCCAGCCTTGATTTCAGATAAAGCCCATAAATGTCCATAAAGAGCATCATGCTAAGGCAGGTGCCTTCGAGTTTTGCAGTGCTGAATTAACACGGAGGTCTTCCATCGCGGCAGTGACGTTCAACCCAAAGTAAGTGTTCACAAATCGAATGTAGGTAACTATACACTGACATCTGTACGCACTTCATAACTGATAAGGTATGATGAGACAACATTACCCCTCGTCACGATTTTGTCAACTGTCCTCAAAGTAACAGTTGTTTGTAGTTACCAGCGAGGTGTGCTGATGGAAGCTCAGTTAGCCGTATTCGATGTTCCAGGATACCTCAAGTTCGTTACCGATATTGCATTGAACGTTACTTCGTTTGAGCTATACTCAGACGCGATCGAGTTCTTTATAACAAAAAGTTCACTTGACTGAAAAATTTTATAATAAATGAGAGCTGGACTTTTTTTTTTATGTGCCACGCTAATGGTTGAAGCTGGTCGATTTTTGTTTAGTTCTGACACCGTATAAAGGCATTGGCACCATTAGCCTAGAAAGTGACACTGAACGGTATCTTGGGTCAAATGCGTTTTTTTTTTATATGTAAGTTAAGTGGATTGTGTGGCTGAGTTCCAACGATCTATTTTAATTCCAAACATTTATAATTGGTACGCCGTTTCATAGACATGTCCTGCAGGATTCACTCTGGCTACACTCTTAATAAGGATAAGCCTTTGACATATATACATGACTCCGTAAACTTGTTGATATAAAATAAATGAC